TTTATAATTGGCTAAGCTCTAGAGATAGCATTCAGGTACTCTCCCTACTTGCAGTTACAGCTGTGAGGATTATCTCTTACTTTCTCAGGCTTGGCTGCATTCCTAGCTGTTTGTCTCAAACTTGTTTGTCTCACCCAAAGGACAATTTACCCCTGCCATCTGCCCAGCTGAGTTACTCCCTATCTCTATATAAGTTACTATCTCCAGAGCTTTGCCTGTACACTGCATTCCCAGGTGTGTTCCCAGGACTGTGTCCGTGCGTTCCCAGGACTGTGTCCTTGCTCTTTTTAGCCTTCCCCAGGTACATTCCCAGGATTGTCCCCACTTTCTTAGCCATTCTCCAACAGAGAACGAGCAGAAATGTAAAGGAAACTTTAAATGTGTACCTATATCTATATGTATATAGCACTTCCACAGCATTTCTGCCCCAAGGATCCCTGTTCTGCCTCTGCTAAAACACGCTGGGATATGTGTGCCTGCACAGGGACAAGCAGGATCTCACGTGCTCTGAGACAGCTTTGCTCCAGGCAGTGAACTGAGCAGTTTAAGGTATCAGCTACCTCAGCTGTATGTAGCAGAAGTTATACCAGGACTTTTGCTTTTCTGTTTCTGTTACCACTTACCAGCCACTTGCCACTCCACTGCACTGAAGTCATTGGGTACAGCTACACTTAAGTCCCTGCAATTGCACACGTAGAAAACTGGAACATCTGGGGGATGCTGTGCTCTCATGTACCTTACAATGAGGAGATAATGGACAACGACACAGAGTATCTGCCTGATTTTTTTGTGATGGTTCTCTCTCATCTAACAGAGTACATCATTTCTTCTTCCTCTTTATAATATTTCCACCCGGATCTGTTTACGGAGTCGTTCTCAAGCAGAAGCACCTCCTGAGAAACAGTCTTAATCCTTACAGGTACTTCTGAAAGCTTCCTAAAATGGCATTTCTGTTCTAAGTCCCAAGGCCTCTCTTACTTACCCTGGAAACAGATTTGTATTTCTGATGTGACTTCTACATCCTGACAAGTTCTTTGGCATCATCTTACTCGGCCTGGTTGATTCCAGAGTGTCTGTATGAATTACAGAGAGTATGCAGCATTACAGCTGCTTTTAGTGTGGCAGAAAGGCCTTTGATATCCTGCCAAAAGAAGCTTCTCAAATTTTTCCCAGAAGTACATGCAATATCTTGCACTGGCAACACTGGGCAAAACTTCCACTGATATCCTGTGAGTTTTAACTAAAATTGTGTCTTTCAAGATACATGGGCAGCTTGCACTGCAAGTGACCTTCATACAAGGCCACTGTGCTGTCAAAACACATTTAGTGCAGTAGAATAACCAGCAATGAGTAAACTAAATTATGACCTTAAGCCTCTACTTTCTCTTACAACTAGATATGTAAGAGTAATGCACTGTGGGAAAGAATTGTGGAGAATTTGTGTGACACAATCACACCTGAACCAAGAGCTCCCACAGGAAGTGGGATGGGAGCCACTCTTCACTCCACAGCGCTGAATGAAGAGGTAGAAACAAGATGCTCAGAAAATAAACCTAACTGAAGGAAGATGTATTTTTCATTGAAGCAATGGTTATAAGGTGTGGATTTGCTGTCTGTTGGGTCAGACGGAGACTTTTCTTCTTTACTAGGGAAAGCAGAATTTTTAAGGAAAAACAAAATATGTCTCACTAGGAGTAACATGTAAATAATACAATGTTTGATATATTGAGCATCCTGAAAATCCATTCTAATCAACATCATAGCAGTTACTAACAACAGAACAGGTTGTGGCTTCTTTGTACTTCTTCATTCTGACTTATTTTGTATATAAGCTATAACATGCTCCATGACTTACAGCAGGTGCTATAGCCTTGTCTATAGTACCTTTAGAGAAGCATCTATGAATTCTTACTGAAAAAAAAAAAGCTGATTAATTCTGAGGCTTTTACTGTTCACCATGGCAAATTTGCAAGGTTTGTAGGCAAGTAACATGTAGCTGGTCTCAGCGTTTAGTGTGTGTTAAAATGTTTTTAAATTCATTATTTAAACAATTCAAACAATAATTTTGTCACCAAGAAGAAACTTGTCTGGAGATTGAGGGTGTGGATCAAATGATCCTCCTTATTTTGGACAATCCTTCAACACCATCTTTGCTGCACTCTGCCAGGATGATATATGGGCAACGTGTTTCACTCATGCTGCTGATGCAGAAACTTTTGAAACTCATTGACTTCCATTGTTCTCACTGCATATTTGGTAAGAGATATTTTCTACCTTACAAGGCTGTAAGGATGGTTCCTTAAGAATGCTGTAACACAAGGGCAGTTCTTACTGGCATGAGTGACTTGCTCCAACAATCGGCTTCAGTAATTAAGAGACCAAATACTATTACTCTGAAAGTACCAGTTGATTAATATATCGTTTGCCATTGACAAGTCTTTGGACCTGAGTATCAAAACCAATTATTGCAGTATTTGGCTGTAATAGTTTAATATTTGAAGAGTGTAATTGGTTTGCAATTTTTTAACAGTCAAGTATTAAACTTCAATTTTATAAACTGATGAAAAACTATGAATACAGAGTTCTTACATCATTCTGTTTCTTTATAAAGTGGCACTTTAACACTTCAAAGACATTTGCTAATTTAGATAAAGAATGTTTTGTTCTACAACTATATAGCAATATTCTGGAAGCACTCAGTCAATCTTTAGATAGAAGAAACACTTATGTACGTATTCTTTCTTCTTTGTGATAATTTCCCTTTAGGGTAATGACAAATACAAATTTCATGATGTGGATAAAATACTGTATTAATTAATAAATGAACAGAGAGTGTATTTTGGGGTAATGTAAGTTTATTCCCAAGAAACGGCCCAGTCAGGACCTCTATAGAAAGATGTATTGTAGATATCACAAGTGAACAACGTATTATTCATTACAGTAATATGCAAATAAAGTTGCATTTGACAAAAGACAGACTGAAGATCTAAGTATGAAGGGTACATATCTTTCAAACAGAAAATTAAAATGAGGGCAATCATCATCACTTCAATTTATGTATTTCACTGATAAAAGATAGCTCAGTTAAAATAAGCTATCAGCAGCATTCACACCAAGAAGACCCTAAACCTGTAACAAAGAACTGATGTGAAAGTTTATGTGAAAATTTTCTTCAAGAAAAAAGCTGATTTTAAGGAGTTACTGACTGTGCATTCACACCACGTGTGTTCAGTGCCACCTCAGTTGTTGTCTGTGAATTTTAAAGGCCATTCATAATGATCCTATATGATTTAACAGATGAAATCTTAAAGTAGTTTGGTGTTTTCTTTTTTAATTTGTCTCATGTCAGTGATCTGTTTTGAAGTATGACTCTGCCAACAGCTGCAGAAGTGTGACACTAGAAGCTGGTGAGGTGCAGGATAGAACAATACACATAGTGGTGCAGAACTGTTTGTTAACCTTACATACATGATAAGGAAGATCAGTGTATTGACATTGCTCATACTGAACTGTTTCTAAACAGCTCTTCAATATAATTGAATAGTATTGGTTGTTTTTCAAGGAATTCCAGCAGCACATACCAGTACGAAACTAAGAACCTGATTTGTCATGCAAAAAACTTTCATAAAGCTAAGAGGATAAAAACATACAGTGGCTTTTAGTTGATAGGAAAATTAACATCAGATTCATCTCTCAAAGCTGAAAAAATTGTCCTGTACCACCATATGACACCTTCTGCATTGGTTACCTGGTGCTGAATGTTCAGAAAATGTATTTGAATATTTAAATGGTCTTTAGTTTTTCCATGCTCTGCAGTATCTAATTTTCTAGTGAATAAACTTCTCAAACATGATCCGTCTTAGTCAGTTCATGGTGTGCATTATGAGCAGCAATATGACTGCTCATAATGCAACAGTTTTTGGTGTTCATTTAATTGTAATGAAGGTAAGCAAAGGTAGAAGAGTTCTATCCCATGGAAGGAGCCAATGGCAATGTTATGAAGTCTACAATACCTCTAATAAGGTAAAGGGGCCAGAGAGTTCAAAATGTTTCTGTAAACATTTTCCAGTCACAATGATTTTTTCCATATGTTTCCTGTTTCTGTACATATGATTTTTTTCTACTTCAGGCGCATTCATTGTCACAGCATTTATAATGCAGCCTATGTATTGAGGATGGCTACTCTATTATGTAGCTGATACTTTAAAAATAAAATTAAAAATCCTTGAAGAGTCATTTAGAAAAATATAAGAACTTCTCTTCGGTTTTACATCGCAGAAATAGGAATTTTAATACACGGAATGAATGGAATTATTATACTAGCATTTCAACAGTACTTGACTAGCCAGGTAAGAAATACAATCATTTTCTTATACTCAGTAACTAATCTTTTATCAGACTGAATAGACAGTAGGAAGGACTTTATAAATCATTCATGTTCTGACCAAATTCTCTTGTAAGACTAGTGTAAATCAGAAGTGACTGCACTGCAGTCAATGGATTTTCACCAGTGGTCAGTGGTGAAAAGTTAAAGGGTGGGTGAAGGCTCCTAGCACTGTGCCAATATCAAAAGACTAGCAGTGTGCTTTAAATCACGGTATTTGGTAGTTCTAAAGTAAAAAATCTTAACTCATTTTAAAAGCATATTTCTAATAACTTACTTGTGTTACGGAGCACATTGGCTTTTTACTTAAATACAGCTCAACGTGATTGGTTCCATAAGAAAAACAGCTTCATCCTGTCGTGATAGAAACATGAAAACAAAAATGTTCTGTAAAAAAGCTTCTGGAATTTGTTCTATGCTTGTGCTTCTTCTGTAGATCTTTCCCTTGGTTCTTTCTTTTGAATACAAGGTTGTATGAGTAAAAATATTATTCCCACCATGTATAGCAAGCCAGATATGTAAAACGAAAAGTCGTATTTTTGTGTGATGTCGTAGATCCAACCTGGAAAATAAGGACAAAACATGTTTGTTACAAAGCTTGGCAACAAGGTGCATTGCATGGGAAAATATGAAAAATACTTCACGTTTTTCTCATGACATTTCAGTCAAATCCATAGATGTTTTGCAGAAAAAAATTTTCAAACAAGTTAGCACATGTCTGACTTTAAAAGACATTTTGTAATCCCAAATCAATTAGTCCTTCCACTCTACCACTGCCTTTGTAAAATTCCCAACACTGGCTAGTTCAAATGCTGTGCCTTGTGCCAGCAAACACATTCCCAGTGGTTTCCTCAAAGTCTCACATTCAAATAAAAGACTTTTCAAGAGAAATAATCTCAGTACTGCAGTGACTCTCATTCCAACTTCAACTCCTTTGCAAAAACGCATTAAAGTTACTTCAGAAAGGTTTGAGAACCTAAACTAGCAAAACTCCCTCATGTCATGCTGGTTGCATTGCGATGTAACCACAAGATCAGAAGCTCTTTTTACATCTACTACTTTAATCCTTCTTGTTTATAACCAATGACCAAATACAGAAACACATTCTGCACAGATTGAGAGGTGCTCAGTGAATACCAATGACCAAATACAGAAACACATTCAGCACAGATTGAGAGGTGCTCAGAGAACATGTGCAGTAAAACACTGCAGCTTTTCAAAGGGCACTGGGTGAGCTTTCTTCAAACTCCTGTTGGGTCACTCAGTGGTGGGGAGAGAAGGTGTGAGTGTTCTGGCCTTTCTGGGCTGCTTGTGCTGCTACTAGCTTCAGCTCAGCCTCGCCCCATCCCTGGCTGACTGTGGCCATGACTCTCAAGGTTTGTCACCACTTTCCTCTGATCAGCATCTCTGTAAAATACAGCTGCAACCTGATACAGTACTGACAATCAGTACCTTTATCTCTTCTGTACTTCTCCACCACTGTCTATGAGAAAATTCATAATGAACATCTCTTTAAACCTAAGTCACTTTAGGGAGAACATACATACACTTCTGCCTTCTGCTGTGGATGGCAGTAAAGAGGCTATGAGCAGTGCAGTCCCCAGAGTAGGTATTTCTGGTGAAGGCAAAGCAAAGTTAGTTAAATCAACACTCACAGCTTAGAGTGGTGGCACCCAAACACACACCACAGCCCTTGGGGCTAACACCATGGTACAGACAGCTGCCTACCCTGAGGACTAATCATCACTCTTTCATCTGGGCAGGGGAATGAGTATGTGTAGTGCATATACTACACAAACCACATAAAAAGAGATTACACTTTTCTCCTTTTAAAAAAACATGTAAGATACTGTTTTAAGGCAACATATCATTGAAAGAATAGACTGTAATGGATTTGGGATTATTTCCAAGAGCTGCAATTTGCAGTGTGTGAATAGTGAGCTGGTGCCCAGCAAATGTGATCTGTAAACTTGCACAATGTAAAGCTGGATGTTGCAGTCCTTTCTGGAGCAGCTGTGATTTTGTTAACTACACATGCTCATAACATAAGAAGGTTTAATAATACAACAAGTCACATAGTTAGACAAACACCTGCTGGTTAGCAATTTGAACTTTTTACCTGCAAAGGGTGGTCCAAACAATGCAGATATTCCATTGGCACAAATGATGATGCCATAGGCATTTGCAAGGTGTTTAGTTCCAACCAAATCTTCAGTCACAACAGGCATTAGAGAAAAATAGCCACTAGAAAATCCTATTAGAGCACAAACCACAGCCAGGCCAACGTATGTTTGCATTAGTGGCAAAGTAAGAATGCAGATGACCAGGGTAAAGTTAGCCATGAGGAAGACATTCCATGTGCTGATGCACGGGAGATCAGCGATGATTCCAAGGATCACTTTACCAAAAATATGAACAATGGCTATAATGGATGTCAAAGGAAATACATTGTTCTGCCTAGATAAGTTGTACTGCTTGACTATTTCTGGAAGATGGATAAAGGGAATGACAAAGCTGCTATAGGCAAACAAAGCCCAAATTATAAAGGCCACAAATACTCTATTGGTAAAAAGTGATGCAGCTCCAAAGTAGCTGGAGTACCACAGTGCAAAGCCTTTCCTGACTGTAATGGTCAGCTGGCTCACTGTCTTCAGAATGCGCAGTCCATACATATTCCTTCCGCTTCCAGATTTACCTCCAGCCTCTCTGTGCTGAACACTGCTAAGCACTTCTTCATTTGTTGCCTCTTCTTTTTTCTCTGGTTCTTCACTGAGGACTCCATTAGATTTTAAAGTCTCTGTGGAATGGGACAGAGCTTTTTCCTGATTATCTTCACTAGTACTTCTCACAACGTGTTTTTCACTAAGGTCCCTGGGAGCGAGTGGTCTCATAAGTGCCCCACAGACACAGAGGTTCAGAGAGATGGCACCTTGGATGAACATGGCATCCCTCCACCCAAATTCAGTGCAGAGGTACTTCAGTAAGGCAGTCATTAGGAAAGCTCCAAACCCTGTTCCCGTGGTGCTGAGCCCTTGTGCAAGTGCTCTCCTCTTCTGAAAATACTGCCCAACCATGACCACTGCGGGCAGATAAACCATACCACTTCCAATGCCTATGAAAATAAAAAAACCCTGAAATAAATCAGAACGTATCGCCAGCAATGTAAAAAGCAGTGAGAAACAAATCAGTTTGATTCCTAACTTTTGTGTAAGCATAGTAGTAAACCCAATAATAAATATTTAATTTTGATGTTAGTTTTCATTTCTGTCTTGTAGTGTTTTCCAAAATTTGCAATACTCATTCCAGAAAGAATACTGATATTTAACTGCTGGAAAAAAATCAAACACATGGAAGATAAAACCTTTACCTCGGTTCAGAATGACACTGCTGGAAAGTCACAAACATCCCACACTCAATCAATGACAGTAAATACGGAGACAAACATAGACACACCCTATTTTGAAATATCTGCATGTGTAATACCTGTGTCTGATTGTATCAGTGACCCAAACTGCTCAGTAAGCACATCCTGTTGCTTTCGCCTAAGTTCACCCGTGATGAAGATTCACAGTTTTTGTCCTTGCTCTGTAACTGTAGAGCCACAGTGACTGTGATATGTGTCAGGAGTCAGCATGGGGGGTTAGCACGGTGATGGGACCTCATAACTGTAGAGCCACAGTGACTGTGATACGTGTCAGGAGTCAGCATGGGGGGCTAGCACGGTGATGGGACCTTGGATGCCTTCCAGGCTGGTTCTCTTTGGGCACTCCAGGGAAGTAGCTGCACAGGCATAGTTTTAAAAGCCAGATCTCTAATTTTGTAGAAACCCCCTCACCTGTAGTTAAAAACCAGGGTATTCATGGTACATGCTTCAAGCAGAAAGTGTTAAGAGTTGTGCAAACATGTTATTAAAGGTAACAGTTGCCCAATTTTTTGTCTCACAGCAAACTCCTCATAGAAGAGTTTGGATTGAAACCGGTGTATACAAAGGATGCTTCCCAATCCACTGGGATGACAATTCAGAAAAGTGTTTTGGGGCTCAAAAGTTTGCCTAAAGAGCTGATAATGTAGCTGCATGAAGCTACAGCATGACCTAGCTACATCTGAGATGGAGGAAGAGCAATGATTCCAGCAAAGCCTAAAAAAAGCCCCTCAACAACACAGCAGTGACCATGGCCGGAGCTGACCCATTTTGCCTGTTAGAAGTATTTATTTCTCCACTAGGCAAACACACGATCGAGTTTTCACACTGCACAAGCCTCACTGCCCAACCCCAGCACAGACTCCAGGGAGTCTCAGCTCCTCAGGCCAGGCTGGGGTGAGACATCAGCCCCGGGTTCCCGCTGGCACTGCTGCTCTCTGCACCTCCCCAGGAGTGTGCATTTTAAAAGGTCTCACCTGGGTTTTTCATTCTGTGGGCACAGCCTGTCTGCAG